GGATATTTTGGCAAGTTTATAAGTCCCTAGGAACCCATTATCTAGTAGCTATTAGCCCGAAGTTCTGCCAGTGCAATTTTCGGACTTTTGTCAAGGGAATATCTATAAGTTAAATTACACTCTATATTATTTTAGTGTAATTTATATTTAAATTCATAGTCGTTGTTATGAATTTATAAATAAGATTTGTCAGTGGTTCCAATGTCATTTTAATGATTAATCTACTTACGGGGATGATGTCTAGGCTGCATTTAGTGAGGTGTTTAAATTGGTATTTCCAAACAATATACTCTATATACCAAACAAACCCTACCTCCGATATGATCTTACCTGGCTATCCCTTATCTGCTATACATCAATAGACTTTGAAAATTATGATGGATTTAGGCTATCTTACACATAACAAGTGAGTGAATATTTATTTTCATCTCACACATAGATATAAAGTATTTAAGATAACTGCATGCTATATGTTCCTTTTATCTGTATTCCTGATATCTATGCTAGATGAACGATTTTTATACATGTTTTACTTAATTTAAACTGTATAAGTACTTTTATTACCTATAAATACATTGAGTAACGATGGGTAGATGTAAGATGATATATATGAGAGATGAAAGATGATATAAATGATGAGAGACCTTGACTTTAAAGATGATCCAGTCATCTAGCGGAGTATAGATGATAACCACAGACTATTCTAGACAGTCGAGTGTAACACTAGAAGGCTCACAACCTGTATGTGTTTTTAAACTAAGTGTTCACCGGGTGTACTCCATCTCCCCATGGTTGCCTTATTGACATATATTGCTAAGCAATCCCATACGCAGTATTATCTATCCCGAAGATGATTCCTTAGGATAGGTCCCCTGAATTAGATGCTTAGGGACAGAAAGTGAGGATAACGGGTAGGGGTAATCGGGTTGAATGTTTTGATGAAAATGTATAATTAAAAGAATATAATTATTGTGGGTTGAAAACCCTATGTGCTCACCAGGCCCCCAAGCCTGACCCTCTCAGTTTCTTGTATTACAGGTAGTGGCACGAGAGCACAAGTGTGATGTTATGATGAGCGATCTATGGATGCTTATAGGCCAGTAGTTTAGATAAAGTAGTGTAAGTCATGTATTATTTCGTTTATGCTTATGTACCAGTATTAACGATTAAATCCCAACATTTTTAACATAAGTAAACTATATTTCTTTGGAAAATGCTTTGATAATATCATTATCATATTTTTGGAACAAATTCCGCAATATTATTCTTTAGAAAAATACTCTGATTTTAAATAAGCATCACTAAATCGACCTTTTCTCACCGTGAAAATTGGGCATGTCACATGCACTTCTTCAGTTCAGATGAGTTTCCCACACTGCCACATATCCCATTGTATATCCTTTGCATGGTAGGATAGAGGTAATATTAGAGTACAATTATGCTAGTGGCCTAAAGTGATTCCTTGTTATGCCTTATAGTTAAGAGCACTTGGTGCCTTAGTTTGCTAGACTGGTAAGCGCTTGACTGTTGATCGTACGATTCAGTTCGGAGACACGTTTGGTACGGTAACTAGGGAAGGCTTACTGCCAAGGGAATATACTATGTTAGTTGTGCATGTGTTTATGTTATATGTTTATGTGGTAGTGATAGCTCGGGTCCTATGTAGTGTAAGTTGGATAGCCTAAGAAATGTTGGTCTAATGCCTGATTGTGATGTTCTTGTATGATTGTTCTCTCTTGGGTGGATCATCTATTTGACTGTCTATCTGGTCCCGGAACACATACAAATTTAAGTCTTGTATGGAAGACTAGGAGGGGGCTCATGGAAGTGGAGGTTGGGTTGGTCCTGTTATGTATAGTTGGGTGGGGATGATTATGTACAGTTGGGCGGGGATCGTTATGTATAGTTGGGCGGGGCTCGTGATGGTTGGTGGGGCCCGTTATGTTACAGTTGGCGGGCTCCGTTATGAATGGTTGGGTAGGGCCCGTTATGTGAGTTAGGTTGGACCTGTGAACTCTTGGGCTGGACCCTTCATGTAATATATATATGTATGTGCCTAAGAGATTTGGTTGCTCGGCGTTAGAGCCGAGATCTTATGTAGATGCATTGTATGTATGATGGAATATGTGGTATACTGGGGAACTCAGTAAGCTTTACACCTATAGTTGTGGATTAAACATTTTGCAGTTCGTTCATAAGAAGAGCTCGACGGGTCTGTACACACACATCGAAGATGTTTGTTTCTGCAATTTTGTAAATTTAACTATGATAATGTATGGTTTCAATCAATCAAATGTTACTCAATGGTTTTTGAAGAAAAGGTTAGGCGGTTATTAAATTTTAAATTTGAAAAATCTATTTGTAATTTTTAGGACATTACAAGTTCGTATCATAGCCTTGGTTTGAGGGATTCGGGTGGACCTTGCGGTGTGTCTAAACTTAAACTGAGGACTGAGAGATTTTCTAAACAAGTTTTTGAAAGAAAACGCTCTTATTTAAGGAAAATAATTTTCTAAAAAGGATTTGGAAAAGGTGTTTGAAAAAAGTTTCAATCAATAGTAATGTAAATCAGAGTTAAATGAACAGAAAAATCTAAATAAGATCTTTCATTCAACTTAATTATCCAGAATGAGTATAAGTGTAGTTGCAGAGAAAAAGTAAGCTCAATGCGTAAGAGTGAAAAAGTTACAACACACTTACGTACATACCCTATTTATAGGATACTCACGGATGAAAAAATGTATACTAGGACTTCAACATTACAAGTGAAACTATAATAGTGCCTAGTAAAATACATACATAACAAAGTTTTTAAGACCTTCTTTATTTACATTCATTCCTTACAAATACCACTACCTAAGGTTCGACATATCAAAACACAATTATACTCTACATTCTCCCCTTTTGTGATCATTGCTGAATCTTTAAACTGAGGGTTGTATCTTAATTGTCTGTAGCAAAACTCTTCGTATTTCTATGTACCATACGATAATATTCCTTATCTCCTCACGATCTTCATTCCAGTTCTTCATACAATTGTTGATACGAAGAAGAATACTAGAAAGATGCTGATTGGAGTATCTTTCTACATCATCGGTACGAAATAAGAATTTCTTCTTTCCTTCCTTCTTACCTTTCCTTGAAAACAACTCCCATCAGTTTATGTATAATTTCTCTATCTTCAAAGTCATCAATGTTAAATTTCTCTTTCAGCAAAGCCTTAGGAACTTTCGACTTTATGTTGAAGGCAACGGAGAGATCAATATCTATTAGTGCAATGTGACCAAAGTAGAAGTCCAAAAAGCTCTTGATGTGACTGCATCCAATGATATATGAAGCTTTGTCTTGAATTTTGGATTTACTCAAATCACCCATTAACTTCGCAATTGTGATGAGATCGTTGACATTCATCAGAGGAAAATCGGCAATCGTGAAATCAAAAAATTCGTTGTTTGCTCTGAAAACACTATATCGATAGTTTTGCAAGACTCCTTTGAATAAAGCATCAGGATCTATCGATACAATCTTGATGATTTTCACCAAAGACCACACATCTTCTTCATTCTTCCTAAGCACTGCATGAATACGAATCTTCAGTTTCTTAAACTCATATTGATCCTTATAACTCTCAACAAGCTTGAAGTGAGGAAAGATGAACATCGAATGATCTACTGGAAAATCTAGCTGGTCGAAATCAGAATCTTCAATATCATATATCTTTCTTGGTTTCTTATCAAAGTCATCCATTTCAGCAAAAGTTGCTATTTCGATTGTTTCATAACACTATACTTTGTTGGGATCACCCTTGTTAAGGCCTGGTGGAACATTCACTCTTAAGCTCATTATGTTGTTTAGTTGCCTTAAATTTTCCATCTCAAGATCTTGAAGCTTCTTCTTTTCTTCAGCTGTGGGTTTCTCATGAACACCTTTTCCTTTGTCTTTAGGATCAAAAGTTGTAACAGGTTTAACTGTTAACGAACATGAACCTCCTTCGCCTATGCTTAAACCTCTCTTTGATTATAGCTTAGACATATCGACTTCAATAGATAGAGTAACAATTGTTGTTGTCGAAGATGTCATAATGGATTTCAACGGTAGTGAAATTGGGATCTGAGTAGGAAACACTTTCCCAACAACTTTGCCTTTGTCCTCTCCACCATCTTTCAATGAGACACCCTCTTTTTTCCCACTTGTGACACGTTCGTAAACGGACGTGGAGCATTGGTGGGTAAGTTAAGAACCAAATCAAGAATAGGAGCAAGTTCAGTTTTAAAACACGACTCTGCTGACAAAACAACAGAAGAAACTTGGACTTGAGATATCGAGGTTGTTGATGGGAATTCAAACTTTGATAAAGACTCATGAAAACTCGTAAGAGAGTTCTCAATTTTTGTAAAACCCTGACCATCAGACTCCTTTTTGAGCTTCAACTCACCAACATAATTCTTATTGAAGGCACATAGATCTTCAATCAAGGTTCGAGTTGCTCCCATAATGGTATCAACATTCTCCTTAATGCTCAAACAAAATTTATCCAACATTGTTACTTCTGTTGAAAATAAGTCAACAAACTCCTGGATCTTCGATTCAATATAATCTTTCGAAGAGTTCATAAACTTCTCAAAAATTTCATCTCGCTCACGAGCAACACTCTGCAATCCCTTGACATCATGTATGTAAATATTTGATTGAACAGTAAGACGTTCATCAACTTGTAACAACATTATCTATGAAATTCCTTGTTCCTGATTCTTGAGACTTTAATAGAAACTCAACCTCTTCCCCACTCACAAAAGGTCTCCTAGCATTGACATTGAGAAATTAAAGAATGGTGTTGAGTTTGGAATTCAGAATCTTGTATTGCTTTCCTCACATAATCACATTGTCATCTACATATTCTTCTTCAAGATTAAACTCTAACCCAACAATCCAACCATTTCATTGTTTTCATCACCTTCGTTATTCGACGTCTCATGATTTGTTGACTGAGAAGAGAACAATCAAGTAACGTTTTCATTAATGATACCTGCAAATGTAGGTGAAACAGATGGAATTGTTGTTGATATGATAGTTAAAGTTTGTGGTGGTGACGAAGGTGGTGGTAGTGGAATAGTTGAAGTTTTGATAGCTGATGTCGAATGCTCCTCATCCATAGTAATACTTGAGTTCTTATTAGATAAGTTCTTAGGGATGTTTAAAGATCTATCCTCCTCCATATTGGACTTGGAAATAGAACCTTCCGGTGGAGTAACAACAATCTTCTTAAGAATCAAAGTAATGATTGGTTCACCAAAATCGATGTTTGTATCCATATTAGATGTATTGACAGTGACACCAAGAGTACTTGTCTCCTCAACATTCGATTTGACAATGGCATCCCTTTGTGGTGAATCATTAAAAATGAGATCATAATTCCCAAGAACTGCATCTTCTTTCTCTTCGCTATCATAATCTGCTTCAAAAGTATTTGATGTAGCTTTGGTAGAGGACTCTTCGACAGTCTGAGCCCTTAGCTTCTTCAATGTATTCAACAAACCAGCAGCTGAACAATTCCTTTTATTTTGAACTTCTTCATCGGTAATATCGTTTATAACAACACTAGAAGAGTTGGATTTCGTCTTCAATTTATTTGACTTCTTAACAACAGGTTCAGGAATAGAAAGTTCTTTAACAACTTCTTGAACAACCTTCTCAAACCTAGTTGGGACTTCCTTCTCAGAACAACCTTTAAGTGACTTCTCGGTAACATCTTTTGCCACCTTCTTAGAAACACTAGGCTTCGATGATTACTTCTTCTTAACAACTAGAGAACCTTTAGATTATCCTTCTTCCACGCTAAATGTTACCTTCTTATGAATATAACCACCAGAAGAAGTAAGAAGCATAGAAGTTTTGTGTTCTCCCAATAACTAATTCTTCTCAGCCACCAGTTGGAGCATGGCATTAGGAATCCTTCTAACATTTGGAAATACAGCCGAATCATCAATAGCTTCTTTAGGAATGTTGAGATGTGAGAACTGAGCCACTTCAACAACATTAGGAACCTAAATATCTTCTTGAATGTATACTTTGTGCAAAATAATATTCCAAAACCTAGCACTAGCTATCTTAGTCGAGACCTTTGAATGCTTGATAGATGTGGTAAACTCATCCCACAAAAATGAAGCATAATCAACCGTTATCCCATAATATAACCCTGCATTAACAAAATAAAATTGGCCTTTCGCATTGTCTAAACCACAAATCCTTCCAGTTAAGCACCACCAAAGAAATATTCCACACAACAGAAAGATCCGACTTCTTAAAAATGCTAACTAGAGATGTACGAGGTTGATAACCAATTTCATTGAACATGTGAAGTACCTATTCAGACACAAGAACTTCAAATGAACCCTTTGATGGTAGTTGAAAATTTTGGGCAAACTGTTTCTTATGAAACTTCTTGAAGCCTTTGGATTCCATCTGAATTATAACAACTTTAGTCGTCTTGTTGTATACCGCTATAGTAGCATCAAGCAATAACTAGTTCATCAGAATAGAAAATGATGCAGATAGAGCATGAACCATTATAGAATCACTGAGACATTGAATTAGCATCTTCAACTCGTCAGGATACGCTGCAATTGACTGATTAAACCAAATGTTGGTGCATTGAATCTTCATATTAGGCACAGAGACAACATCTTCAGTTGTGTTGAATTGATCAACAATAGGATTGACAGTAGACATGATGATTGCGAGAGAATTTTGATTTCAATCAAAAAGTAGGGTTATGGTTGTTGCGTAAATGCTGGGAATCAGAAAGATTGAATTGTACCACCAAGTATTCTTTCATAACCAACATCTATTTCAAATTTAAATCAAAATCCAATAGTGAATTGCCACATGGAAAGTATAACTAAAACGACATCACCCCCATCTACCACGTGTATAATTAATGACCGCTTTTCTTTATCCACGATAAAGCAAGAGTAACATCACATCCCGACAGTTACTTCATCATCACCAATATAATCGAATAGCCAACTTGTTTCTTTAGGAACCATGAACCAAACTTCGATGGTGAAGGTTGGAGCTCATTCACTTGTGGGAATGATAAATGAAATCATAAGCTAGACTTTGCGAAATCTTAGTATGAGTTGGTAATAGCCAAAACCTCAAGGATTTTAGTGCCAATGTGTTCCAAAAGAAAAGATATAATCAAACTAAGAAAAATTTGGATAATGTAATATCAAATCAAACTAAGAAAAAGGCAGTAAGATCCCGGGAAAAGATACTCTTCCTTCGATAGCAAGAGAGAAATCAAAGTGCTTGTGTGGTTTCCCATGAATTACAATCTAATACTTATAGAGAAATATCAAAGGGCCCCTGTTGACAAGCTTCGAAGGTGGCTTGATTTTCAAACAAATTCGCAACTTAACATAAGAGCGAAAGCTTATAAGAAAATACTTGTGTGATCATTGTTTATCAATAAAAAGTAAGATTTTGGAAGAATTTAACTGACTAAAGATCAAAGAAAATGTTCAAACGAAAATCTCATTTAATAGAAACAATTAAAGAAATGGATCTATTGGGAAGAAATGACTTAGGAGTAGTGCATTTCATTACGATAACACATATGAAATGAAAATGAGATTTTGAACATTTGAAATGGCACATCGAAACATAAGGTTACATTGGTCAATTCATTGTAAAATCTTGAACAATAAATTGTTCACAGTCAATTCCTTGACTGAAATGTTTTATGGGTCTCACCCTCATCATGGAAAAGTGATTTTGGATCTTAAAAACAGATTTTTAGCACACCTACATCCTAGTTTTTTTTTGACTAAATATGTATTGGGATATGTGTCATTGTGTGTGTAAATGTAAGAACTTTAGGGTGCAAAAGATTGGTAAAGAAAATCCGTTGTACCTTTGCGAACAATTGTAACCAAGTCATCTATTAACTCAAAATGAGAAGAGAAAGGTAGCTCGAGGACTATTCTTAATATAGCCTATTGGGACAAAATTTTAAGAGAAAATTTTCATTAAGGCTTCGCAAACAATAAGTCAATGAGGCTTTGGACAACATGCTTATAGGGACACTTAACTAGTCAATGAGTTGCGAATGTTACCTTATCCCTGTTGAGCTTCACTTGATCATGCTTATGAACAATATGTGTTACAATGAACTTTTCAAGAAAAATGAAGAAATAAATTTTTGAAATTTTGAAATAGAAGACAAAAATAAAGAAAATCTTTTTGTGTTTTTGATTTTGTGAAATAAAGAACAAAAATAATGAATATCTTTTTGGATTTTTGAGTTTTACAAACGAAAGACAAAAATACAGATTTTTTTTATTTTCATTTTTTATTTTTGAAATAACAACAAAGAAAATACTACATTCACCACTCGTTCAATATTGATAACGAATCAATCTGGAAAGGATCCGTGATTTGACCTTCGCTACTCAGTTAAGACCATAAGTACACATTCGCTAGTCCTTCGCTAATGATAACAAATAGCTATCAAAGAGAGCGTCGCTATACCTTCGCTATCAGCTGACTCAAACCTTCTCTACACCTTAACTTGTTATCAACAGTCGCTAAATGAGTTAGAGAAAATGCCGAAAATGAAGCACATCGAAGCTTTGAACATGAACAATTACTGTTGGATGAATTTGTAACAATAGTGAATACTAGTCTAAACCTTCATCTTTCAAAGACAAGAAAAAATAGTTATAGGTTGGAACATAACAAGCTTCCATCATTCCCAAACCATTTAAGTTTCTTAGAAAAGAATTTTCATCAAGTGGCTTAGTGAAAATATCTACCAATTGATCTATGGTTGAAACAAAATGAACTTCAATATTTCCATTCTCAACATGATCTTTGATGAAATGGTATCGAAGTGCAATATTTTTTTTTTGAATATTGAACTGGATTATGACAAATGCGAATTGCGCTTTGAGAATCACAAAACAAGGGAATTTTCTTCATGTTAATCGTATAGTTATGCAATTGAAATTGAATCCAAATCACTTGCAAAGTACAAGAAGCAACAACAATATACCCAACCTCCACTGTAGATATCGATACACTTGTCTGTTTCTTCGATTGCCACCTGACAAGCTTCCTCTCAAGAAATTGACATCCTCCAGTAGTACTCTTTCGATCTAATTGACATCCGCCTAGATCCGTATCTGAAAATTCTTGAATGAAGAATCATGTGTTTGCTGGATTCCACAATCCTAGAGTTAGAGTGTAGTGTAAATATCGAAAGATATTTTTGATAGTAGTGAGATGTGGTTCTCTTGGGTTTGCTTGGTAACTGGCACAATTACAAACCGAAAACATAATATCAGGTCAACTTGTAGTTAAGTACAATAATGAACCAATCATGCTTCGATAAGTATTCAAGTCAACAACATGCTTATCCAACGAAGGACTTAAGCGAGTGCCAACAACCATGGGAACCTTCGTATCTAAACAATTATTCATTACAAAGCGCTCAAGCAAGTTCTTCGTGTAATTTTCTTGATTGATAATAATTCCTTCTTTGCTTTGGCGAATGTTCAGTCCTAAAAAGAAATTAATTTTGCCCATCATACTCATCTCGAATTGAATTTTCATTAATTCTTCAAATTCTTTTGACAATAAAGGGTCAGTAGAACCAGAAGTTATATCATCGACATAAATTTGAACAAACATAAGATGATACCCAACTTTCTTTCGAAATAATGTGGGATCAACTGATCCTTGCTTAGTTAACGTGGCATACAAAGCATGAGGTGCTTGTTTCAAACCATAAACAACTTTGTCGATGATGTAACAGTGATTAGAAAACTTATCATTCACAAATCCAGGTGCTTGCTCAACATAGATAATCTCTTGAAGTACACCATTGAGGAATGCACACTTCACTTCCATTTGATACACGTCAAAATTCTTGTGAGCTGCAAAAGCAAGAAAAATTCATACTGCCTCAAGTCTTGCGGCATGAGAAATGGTTTCATGGTAATCAATTCCTTCTTAATTATTATAACCCTTTACGGATAATCTTGGTTTATTTCGAACCACATTACCTTCTTTATCAACTTTATTTTTGAAAACCCATTTTAAACCAACTATTGAAACATTTTCTGGTGTATGAATTAACCTCCAAAATTTGTTTCGTTCAAATCCAGCCAATTTAGATTGCATCGCAACAAACCAATCAGGATGTTCTAATATAGTCTTGACTGTTTTTGGTTCAAATTTTGAAATAAAAACATTGAAAATGCAAAATTCCTTGTGAACATTAAGAACATCATTCCTAGCTCTAATCTGTGTGCGTGTTAACACAACAGAATTAGGATTACCAATTGTTCTTTTGGATGATCGCAAGTGCATTTCTACATAGGAGGAAATGACGGATCAAAATCCAAATGAGCATCCTCTAATATTTTTCAAGTCTCTGAAAATTCTTCTACAACAGAAAGATTATCATTAATATCATCATTGTTATTACCTGGAGCTTCGCTATCACCTTCGTTATGTGTTCGATCATGCTCCCCTTGAACACAAGAATCTGCTAGGTGTGGCTCCCCCTCAATACCAACATTCGAAGGTATAGGCGGCCCCTCGACTTGAGGTTGTGTAGTCAAGTGTTCCCCCTAAACTTGACCACATGTCGAAGTTTGACCCTCTTCTACATTAACTTTTGTTGTTGATGACAAATATTCATCCGTTCGTTCATTAGTTATTGTTGAGTAATCAAAATGCTTTGATTCTTCAGGTAATTGATTTTCTGTGATGTTGACCTCAACATCATTTGCTCTGTCAGGAATACCGAAAAGCAAATCAAAATCAACATCGAAAGTAAGCATGTGATCAAAATCGTCATTAAATTCAGAAAGTTTTG